AGCAAGAAGCCCGATGCGGGGCTCGATCCCAGGACCCTGGGATCATGACCTGAGCCGAAGGCAGACGCTTAACGACTGAACCACCCAGGCGCCCCATGGAAGCTTCATTTTCTAACATGTTTTTGCAATTACTCATTGCCTAGCTACAACTTCTACTATAAAACATCCCTTTAGTTACACTATCTTATGGTTTAAGACACATACCTACACACACAATAATCTCAAAACTCTGCCCTTCCCTGTCCACGCCCCTCCAGCCTTCACATCCATCTGTCATCGAACACCTCAGCCTTCCCCAAATATCAATACTTAACATGTGTTTCCCAGTTACAGTTTCCTCAACATAAAACCCCAGTAGCTTCTGTTATTTTATAGACTCAGATTTATAGAATCAGTCATCAGGAAATCATGTATTTTTTTATACACATTTTGAATACATTTAGGACACATAACTTCTCACTGTCATAGTTACTTACACAGAAAAAGTAAGTTCTTCATTCATCCTTATTTAAATTCCTTAAAATAGGCAAAAATAAACATATTCTTCATAATTCTAAGTCGCTGTACTGACATTGAGACATTAATCTTACATTAAAATAAGATTTTTAAAAATATAGATACTAGAGGACTTTTCACACTAATTTTTAGCTGTTTTCAAACAATGATTAACCTGCTCTTATCCAGACCTGAGGTCAAAATTCTATCTACCTTCAATCTTCCTATATCAGATATGTACTCATTCAACTCCTTATCACCTCATCAAGGAGCACACTTTGTCACAGTCCACAGGGCTCCCCACTTGTTTCCCTTCCCCTGTTTGGTATACTCCTACCTTTGGAATTACACCCACTGACATTTCAGTTTTTATGCTGGTGCTGAAGAGTAAAATGTAATAGTTTGCCTGGGAATGAGCTGGCTTAGTATCATTCTCCTAATATCTCCGTACTTCTCATTGGGTCTCAGTGCAAGGTCATGCTTTTACTTTATCTCTTTGTAGCTAAATTTTGTCCTGTTGTCCAGTCTCTTAGTGATAGATCCTGTCCAGTTAGTCTATGACCGGGATGTGGCACTAGGGCTCTTATGTTCCATGCCTGAACCCTTTCTCCTTAACCCCGATCAAAGGATGGACCCCTTTTCCTGATAAAGGCATGCCAACCTCTACCATCTGCCAAAATATTCTCTACTCTGACCCCTATCTGAATACTCAGATCTAACTTTACCTGTTTGACTTGGGTATCTGGAAACCTACCCAAATGGCACACTCTTATCTGTTCTCCTCCATTTATCATGAGTTCCCATTACCATGGACTCTCAGATTCTGCAAGTCTACCATCACTATACACTAGAAGTACAGATATTACTCAGTACCCCCTAGCGTAGCTACCAGTCACACTCCTCTTCCATAATCCTTCCTTTGGAATAAGTAGCCATGTTTTGTAGTCCCTGGTGGTGAGGAAAGCATAACCAAATAATGTACTGTCCAAACTGAAAAAGGGGGTATTATTAATTGTTCTGGGACAACAATTATGCTGGGCAAAATGGGAAGTGTAGTCATCCTACAAAGTACTAAACCAATGAACACTTGACAAAAACAAGCAAAAAGCAAAATGAGCCAGTTTATGGCCTGGCCAGCAACCTGTGACCTGGGAGGCTGATTAAAAAGATGATTGGGCCAACATCACAGATTGCAATTTAAAATAAGATGGACAGAAAAACTGCCAGTTGGTTGCAGGTGCTACAGTCGAGAGGCTGGATCAGAGCTGAAGAAGCCAGGGTGATCAAGAAGCTGGTTATAGTGGAAAACAGAGAATCCAGTGAACATTAGCAAGAATCAAAACCCGCCTGACAAAGAGCCCTAAGACCGAACTGGACTTCCAGTTCCTGTAACTGGACTTGCCCAGACTCCCATTTGATCCACACAATGCTATCCAGATTTCTAATGAGCTAGTGGGCATAAATTCTAGTTCTCACAGTCAAAGTTGGCGGACTAAAATGTAGTCCTCAAATGAATATTCAACTACCCCTCTTCAACATGCACCCAACCTCATTTAACAGGATCATCATTTAATTATTATCATGTTCCCAAGTCTCTTTTCTTCAGTCACACCCCCTCACTTTCCTAAGTCACCAGGTTTTGGGGCCTGCCTCAGACAGCTATGAAACCAGGCTTTCTTCTCCATTCTCACTGATGCTATTCTGGTTCAGTCCCTCAGTATGGTCTCCCCATTTTAGGAAACTCTGCCTCCCAAATTGCCCTTTCCATTACTAATCCACTCAACACCCATATAGCTCAGTATTCAATGAGAAATGATGTTCTTCTGGACCATTAATAGGAAAAGAAAATGTAATAGGAAAAAATAGACCCTATTCATCACAGCAATCAAATCTGTAAGGTATCTAGGAATAAATCTAACCAAACATAAGCAAGAAGTTTATGGGGGAAATATACAAAAGATTATTAAAGAACACAGGAAGGCTTGAATAAATGGAGGGATAGAACATATTCATAGAAAGGAAGAATCAACATAGTCAAGATGTCATATTCTCCAAATAATCTATAAATCAAATGCAATTCCCTACAAAATTCCAATAGGGTTGTGTGTGTGTGTGTGTGTGTGTGTAATTTGGCAACTTAATTTTCAAATTCCTATAGAAAATACAAGGACTAAAAAATAGCCAAGAAGAAGTGTGAATAAGAGCAAGTTGGGAAAACTTGTCCTACCAGATATCTAGGTTTATCATCATAAAGCTATATTCTTAAAATAAGTATTAGTGGAAGGCTCTGCAGTGATACAAAGAAACAATAAAGAGCCCCTAAACAAACCCATGCAAATCTGAAAATCAGATACTGACAGAGA